GAGATCTGTTGCACAGCAAAGTGAACATACTTAGCAATACTAAACTGAAAAAAAAATAATTACAAAGTAACAATTAAGAGTCCTTTAGACACTAAAAAAAGTGTATATATAATAATAATATAATGTTTGGGATTTACTTCATAATAATAATCTGAAGGTCGGTTGGGGGAGAGGGTGAAGTTACACATGAAGACCGGCATCAGTTGACAGTTCATGAAGCTGAATGGGTTCCTTATACCATTCCCTCTACTTCTGTTATGACTGAATTTTCCAGAATGGAGGCATTAAAAAAAAAACCCTAGATTATCAAAATGAAAAATTAAATCAATAAGTGCTAGATGAGAAAGTCAAGGATGTATCCTACACTGTAAGATTAAAAAAGACTCAGAAAGCATGTTAAAGAATGCTGACAGGCATCCAGGACCTTCAGAAGGTCATCTAATCAACAGGAGCCGCAGAAACAAATGGAGGGCAGGGATAAAATACGGACACATTTTTGTTCGCCAGATTGTTATTGCACTTCCACTACTAGTAGGAATATAAATAGGTATTTTCATTTGAGGGCATCAATTTGGTAACATCTTAAAATTAAAAATTCTGATACCCTACGATGGAAATCTCTCTTCCTCTTTTCAAAAAAAAATTATTTTTTATGTTTTATTTCTGAAAGAGCATGAGCAGGGGAGGGTCAGAGAGAGGGAGACACAGGATCTGAAACAGGCTCCAGGCTCTGAGCTGTCAGCAGAGCCTGACACTGGGCGCGAACCCACGAACCGTGAGATCATGACCTTAGCCGAAGTCAGATGCTTAACCAACTGAGCCACCCAGGCGCCCCTATCTCTTTCTCTTTTATCTCCTCTTGTAGAAGTACCTACAAGTTTGTTTTGATGATCGAAGTATACTGCAGCACACAAGTCTTTGGAATACACCCAATATCCCAAGAATTGGTGGAAAAACCATCTGAATTGATTCAGATAGTTCATAAAATTCCATTATGTGAAAACAGACTAAGAGTGGAATCAAGGTGGAATCAAACTTAGAAAACGTCATACCTGAAATATAGTAAATGTTCTTAAGTAAATTACTAGTTCTTAAAGTTAATTAGTTAAATTCTGGCTAATTAAATTCAGGTGCATCCATATAATGCAACATTCATTGAAAGAAATGAACTATGTACTGATAACAGAAATTTCTCCCAGATACATAATTAATGATAAAAATAATTTACAGAACAATGTTTAGTATTCTAATTTTTAAAAATTATATAGATTTTATATGGTTAAAGATAGACTACAATTTCATATGTACATGAAAAATTTTGAATACATTAACAATACCTCTGAGGGTAGGTTCTATGTAAAGAAAAAAAGGCAGTTTACAGAAAAGGTATGGAAGGATTCACTTCCCTCGTTCTAAAAGCTGAACTTGCTATGTAAGTTAAATATACTATTTCTGGAATGAAGGAAATAATTAACTTGACTCCTATTTTCAAATAAAGCCTTAGCCTGGCCAGGTTCTCCAGCAGTTAGAGCTACACGTTCACATTTTTGGAGGATGCAGTTAGAAAGGCGGTGCCCGTGGGAATTCAGGTGTATTTCTCAAATCAAGTGTAACTGGACCTAATACCATTGACCAGCAGTGTAACTTACCCTCTGGGAATCTATGCCCTTAGCAAGCCAGTTTTGGTTTTGTTGGGAAAACATCTCTTAGAGAAAGGAACACCCATATACGCTCTTGAGGTACTCTCATTTTGCATGAGAACCGAGGCCCAAAGAAGTAGGTTATCAAGCCCACATATCTAAATAACCATGTTTGGAGCAGACCGGACTGCATGGCCAAGAATTTCTACTTCTACATTCTCTTGCCTGTTTACTTCCTGGCCACAGAGCTTGCACACCTGCACTTAGCACGCTCAGGTGAGGACATGTGATGCACAGCCAAGGTGGGTTCTGTTGCCTTATGTTGAGCTCAAAGTTGTGAGCATTCTGTTAAAGCCAAAGGGAAGGAGGTTAAGGACTGGAGAGGCCTCCCAACTTCCAGTATTTCCTTACCTCCCTAACCCATACAAGCTGGCCTCACGCTCACTGGCACCATTACCACTACTCAACCATCTTTAGTTCAGCACGAAGTATCCCAAGGTCCTGCATGGGTTTTATTTCCATGTTGTTATAGATGTTTTTAAATGTTTGAGGAATTTAAGACCATAGCAGTTCCCAAAACTTTAAGTGCTGTATTTTGGCTGTATTATGGGCTCTCTAAATACCTAGAGCTTAAATACAACCGAGCGTGAAAAACCACAACTGCTGATGTATGTTACTTTGGCACATGAGCTAAAATTCAGAACTACTGTCAAGGCCTTAAAGCTGCTCTTTCAAGATCTTTGGATGCACTCTTCTCAATCTATTCTTTAGGTCTAAGTGGCTTTAACATCTTCACAGAATTTAGTTTTCCAACCAATTCTAGGGATATCAACTGTATTCCAGACTCCTATGCTGCAATATACTTCGATCATCAAAACAAGCTTGTAGATACTTCTATGTGGAGGCCACACATTGCCAGGTACTGAAGTATTAAAATAATCTTACCTGATACATGTAAATAATGCCTTAGCAGTCGCCAATGTCGAGAATGCTTAAAATTGTTTTAGAGGACAGGTCAGTTCTCATCAATAATTCCTTTATTTCTAAATAAAGCAGCCTCTGTGAAAGAACAGATTACTGCTTGCTTACCTCAGAACCTTCACTAGACTCACTGCGGAATGTTTATTACAGTCACAGTGAAATCTTTTAGTTTCTCAAGTTAATTTAAAAAAATCTGGGAATTCGTGAGGTCATCAGCTTGGCATAGTTCTTTACAGTCAGTTCCACTCAAGTTCCTTAAGTCCAAATTGTTTTTTGAGGTCTAAGAGGAAAAAAAGGTGGAATCGAAAGGTCTTGGATATTGGAAGCAGTAAAAGGGGGGAGGATTCCAATTTGAGTGGCCATGGGTCTACATAGCGATCATGGACTGAGAAAGAACACAGAACAAGAGTTTTGAGGAGGGTAGAGAATTTTCATCATAGGCATGTCCTGGTTGAGCTTGGGAAGTACATTAAGTATCTAGCACACAACTGGATGTACAGAGAAATCCCAGCTCCAAGTAAATTTGAACACACGTTAAATGAAGGCAGTGGTCAAGATAGTCCAGTGAAGGTCTAAGCCTAAACCCAGAGTAAAGGCATGAATTTAATCACTATAACCCTGTATTAAACAGCAAATTTGATCATGAGGACTTTAAGGGCATTTTGTAATGTGCAAAAGTTTACTTTTGTCAGAACATTTTTGGCAGTTTTCTCTAGTAAAAAACTGGACCTAATTAGGGTACTAGCTGATTATAAATTTCAAAAAGCAAAAAATCTCAATACTGGAATTTCATGATTCTCATTGGGCAAGACATTTAAATCTCAGCTGGGATTTAATCTCAGCCTCAGGACATTACATACATGTAATGGTAATCTCACGCCTCAGGATATTGGCCAAGTTAAACCCCTGGGTTTGCAGAAAAGCAGTAGCATTTAAGAAAATAGAGGACTAACAACCTAGTAGTGAAACATCCACTATTGTGCCAAGAGGGGCTTGACTAAATAAACTTGGCCTACAGGATACGCTTTCCACTCGAAAAATAAGAAAACTGGAGCGCCTGGGTGGCTTAGTCGGTTAAGCGTCCGACTTTCGCTTAGGTCATGATCTCGCAGTTCGTGGGTTCGAGCCCCGCGTCGGGCTCTGTGCGGACTGCCAGCTCAGAGCCTGGAGCCTGTTTCAGTCTGTGACTCTCTCTCTGACCCTCCCCTGCTCACACTCTCTCTCTCCCCTAGAAATAAACAACAAAAAAAAGAAAAATAACAAAACTAGTTATTCACGTACAAACTGCCTGTTAGTATAGCTCCATATTAAATAAAAACCCCAAGGACCGTGTATAAAATACTCAGATTTAACCCCAACGCTAATAACGGGTTTACTTCTTTTAACCCAACAACGGAAAATATAATCAAAACACCTGCCTGCAGAACTGCAACTGGTTCCGAAAACATGTGCTTCAGCCTGCTCTCCAGGAATAACATTAACTGGCAGAACTACTTCCCAGTTACCTCCCCACCAGGATGCATTAGGCTCTCAAGTCAGCCGCATCCCAGGAACCTTGTGTTGGTAGCATCCTGTATCCATAAAACTACAATGTTGGGGCAGGATTCAGATACGTTCTTTGAAAAATCTCCGATATGCAGCCAGTTATGACCCACCACTGTATACATCTGTCAATCGTAGGGTCTTCGTGTGTTCTGTGAATACAATCCAGCTCTCAAGTGTGAACTGCTTTGGTGGCCTCTAAAGGAAACACAGGCCAAGCCCAGGATATTCACCCAATTCTGACAAATCCACCTGAAAGGCGGACTCACTTTCACGGCACAACTCCGAATTCCTCAGACCCGATGGTCCTAGGAAAGAAAGGCAACAAGAGTTAGCCGATAATCCATTTATTAAAAAGCCTGACTTAAGCATCTGCAATGGTGACTTCAACCTCCACTCCCGGCTCAATGCTGATGGAGGTGATCTGCTTCACAATCTCGGAAGGACTGTGCAGATCAATGAGCCGCTTGTGGATCCGCATCTGAAACCGATCCCAAGTCTTAGAACCTTCACCACAAGGAGTCTTTCTCGTAGTGATTCTCAGAGTCTGCAACGAAAGACAAAGAACACCAGGCGTTGTGGTTTGCACGTGGCTCCGCCACTACCTCCACCTGCTCCTTGCGAGGCCACCGGCCCCCCCCCCCCCCCCCCCCCCCGCCCACGGTCTCGCGGGCCCTCCCACCCTTCAGACTCACCTTGGTGGGCATCCGAACCGGTCCTTTCACTTTGAGATTCTTCTCCTTGGCGCCTCTGATCAAGTCGGCACACACTACAGGGGAAGAAGAGCATCTTTCAGTTTCCGAGACGGCCCGGGCCAACCCAAGGGGCCTTGACTGATGCTGGCTCAGAATAGCGTATACAGCCATCACCGTAACTCCGCATAGTCACCGTCTCCTCACCGCCAACACGGACTTAAAGGACACCGACAGCCAAGGGTAGGTCATCCCCGCTTGGCGCTTTTAAGTTCATCAACTCGCCACTTGACTTCTCCGAGCCCCTCGTGCTCAGCAACAAGTCAAATTAATCGCTTTTGTCGGTTTCGCCCCAAGCTCTCACCCCAAAGCTATCGTACTCACCTTTCTCCAAAGATTTTACGTTGCGGCTGGTTAGAGTGATTCTAATTCGGTGAATCGCCACCTCCGGCTCCACGGGCGTCTTCCCGGTGTCTTTAAAAGCCTGCCATTGCACAAACGAAAACAGGGCTTTAAAGAGCCTGGAAACGCTTCCTCGAGTCTCCCCAGGCTGCCCCACCGCTTCAGGAGCCCCTTTCCCGGGTGAGGGAGGCTCGCGTTTCCGCCCGTCCCGGCGGGCGTCCCAGGCAGGGGCCGAGTCCCGCCACGTCCCGCACCGCGCGGCGCCGCCCCCGCCTCACCATGGCTGCGGCGCGGCTTCCTGACCGACTTGTTCCTCCGCGAGAGCGAACAGCGGTGAGTCAGGAGCAAGAGCGGCGCCTCCGGAGGTCCGCGCCGGCCGCGACCGCGTTTTCCCCAAAGAGAAAGGGGTGAGGCCTCCGCGGCGCTTATATAGCGCGCTGGCGTCTGCATCCGGGTCCCGCACGCGTCTCCGCACTGCCCCGGAAGAGGAATGGCCTCGACGGCTCGGGAGGCGGCGGCGCGAGCCGGGGCTGCAGCGCCCGCGGCGCTGGCGGGAAAGGTGCGGCCGCGGGCGCCCCCTCTCGGCCGGGCGGAGTCACAGCCCCGGGAGGCGGCGTCCGGCGCCGGCGCGGTCACCGCCACGGTCCTTGAGTCACCTGCGAGAGATGCCCCGGAGGTTGCGATCTAAAACCCGAGAAGCGCCTCTGCCTGGTGCATCTGCCCCCGGTCTCTGCAAAAATCAAAACGATTCCTGTGGTTTTTACAGCGCAAACGTCCCTTCCCCTACAAACCGAATCCCTCGTTCTCTGAGCAGGTGGGTAAAGACTCCGAGTTTAACTCACGTGGGTATTAGGAAAAATGACCGACAGCCGGTGCGTGTCGTTTTTAAAATTAGCAGGCAGTTGTTTTTCATAGCCTGAAATGCCTTTTCGTGCTACTTTGTCTTCTGGCTTCGCAGACCGGTAGAAGCATCTAGTCCTTTTCTAGAAAGCACCTGCACTTGGGTTCTTTCCCTCCGGGAAAGTGATGCATGGCTGCTGGGATTATCCTGGAGCGCGTGGTGCATCCAGCGGTGCAGTCTGGAGACCCAGGTTCTCTCTCTAACTGTAACCATGTTATCCCTGCTCTGTTCGGAGAAGGTTCGGGTAAGACCCTTCAGGATCGCCGGAGTGTCAGGGAGGAGGGACACTGGAAATCTAAAGAGCGGTCAGGTGACGTGGGTCGCCAGGACACAGAGCGTAAAGTGCACACGTAGACTTAAAAATGCAGAGTGGTTAAGTAGAACGAAATAGGCAAGATGGGTTTTGGTACAGGGCAGAAGGAAGAGTAAATAACCTCCTTATTTTACAGGTGAAGTGCTGAGTGCAGAAGAGTTATCTGCTCAGACACTGAACTGGTGAAGGACAGAGCTCTGACCCCTCGAAGCAGGGCTCCTTCTTGAGCCCTTCTCTTCTATTCCTTGAAGGGAAATTCTATTTGAAACTTTCATGAAATAACAGCACTAACTTATTTGGTGATAATTGGGCAGAGCTAACAGCTGGCTTTCTTTGACTCACAAAAATATGTATGCTAGATTTTTCGGCCATTTCACAATTAATTTCAATATTAAAATGTGTATATTTCTAGTTCAGTTATTCTTTAAAAAGTTTTTTTCTAATGTTTATTTCTTTTTGAGAGAGAGCGAGAGACAGAGTGCAAGCGGGGGAGGAACAGAGAGAGAGGAGACACAGAATCCGAAGCAGGCTCCAGGCTCTGAGCCTGATGTGGGGTTCAAACTCACAAACTGGGAAATCATGACCTGAGCGGAAGTCAGATGCTAAACCAACTGGGCCACCCAGGTGCCCCTCCGGTTCAGTTATTCTAAAATGTCATCCATTGGCTGTAAAAAAGATATCATAGAATTTGCAGCCGAAAAATCTGGAAACCTGAATACTTAATTTACTGGCTGTAATCTAAATGAGACTTCATAACTTAGGGCTTTAACTTATTATGATGGTGACCAATAGGAGTGCTTGAGATGTGTTTTTGTGATTTTTTTTGTTTTGTTTTTTTAAGGAACAAATCTGGGACATCTATTCTTAGGTTTAACTTTCCCTTCAAGCACTGGAGAAAATGGTGAACAAATTAACTTCCTTGACCACAGGAAAGAATTTCAGTATAGAAAAAGGCAAAATGTGGCCCAGCATGTATGGGAAAAATACTTGATGTGATTAGAGCTAAGAAAACAGCTGGCTGAGATCATATTAGAAAACTGTAATGAAAATTTAAAAAAATAAAAATGTAATGAAAGCATCTCTACTTTCATTTAAAAAAATACAATTTATTTTCAAATGGGCTAACATACAGTGTGTGAAGTGTGCTCTTGGTTTTGGGGATGGATTCCTGTGGTTCATCGCTGACATACAACACCCAGCTCTCATCCTAAGTGCCCTCCTCAATGCCCATCCCCCATTTCCCTCTGTCCCCCGCCCCCCTATCAACCCTCAGTTTGTTCTCTGTATTTAAGAGTCTCTTATGTTTGCCTCCCTCCCTCTCTGTTTGTAACTATTTTTTCTGCTTCCCTTCCCCCATGGATTTCTCAAGATCCACAGATGAGTGAAAACATGGTATCTGTCCTTCTCTGATTGACTTATTTCATTCAGCATAATACCCTCCAGTTCCGTCCACATTGCTGCAAATGGCAGGATTTCATTCTTTCTCATTGCCAAGTAGTATTCCATTGTGACATCACTATTTTCAAATTTATGTTTAGTTCAAACACTGTGTTGTATTTTTCTCTTGGAAGTTAATAGCTCCTGTAGTTACCACGTTAAAAAATTTTTTTAATGTTTATTTTTGAGAGAGAGAGAAAGAGGCACAGAATGTGAGCAGGCGAGGGGCAGAGAGAGGGAGCCACAGAATTTGAAGCAGGCTCCAGGCTCTGAGGTGTCAGCACAGAGCCCGACTCGGGGTTCAAACTCACGAACCACAGATCATGACCCGAGCCAAAGTCGGACGCTTTACCGATTGAGCCACCCAGATGCCCTGAGTAATTCCCACAGTTTAATTAAAAATGTAATGTTCAAACACTAGAGGTAAGATATTCATGGGAGGAAAAAGTGAAAATTAACAATTTATCCAAAAGAAGAAAATACAGAATCCCATCCTTAATGTCATAGATCAATTACTAGATATCCTTAATCAGAGGATATGCATATTACAAAATTGTAAATACTTTGGTGTTATGTCAGCTGCCCTTTGGGAAAGATATTCTCAAATAGATGCTTCTTCTAGCAGGCTAATGAAGGTTTTACTGTGAGAAAATGAAATTACTTATACATTTCATTTTAAAGTAAAAATATTCTTACATTTTCAACATCTCTATTCATAGCCTTCCTTTGCTGATTTTTGTAGGTCTCTTAAAATGATCTTGTGTGGGTGTTTGTTCCTTTCTGTGGACAGCCATCTACTGGTCTTTTGCTGTAATGACAGTGTCATCGTACTACTTACGAAAGGAAATTAATCGAAGTTCAAAACTACTTAATTCACGGTACAGATGTGTATATTGGTAAAATAATAAAGGCAGATTTTCTTTTTTTTATTGTATTTTTAAATTTTATTTTGTAATGTTTTTTATTTATTTCTGAGAGAGAGAGACAGCGTGAGCAGGGGAGGGTCAGAGAGAGAGGGAGACACAGAATCTGAAACAGGCGCCAGGCTCTGAGCTGTCAACACAGAGCCTGACGCGGGGCTCGAACCCACGAACCATGAGATCATGACCTGAGCCGAAGTCGAACGCCCAACCGACTGGGCCACCCAGGCGCCCCAATAAAGGCAAATTTTCAAATGAATGGGTCAAGTGGCTGTTTAGACACTGTTTTATTTGCAGAATCTTTGATCTAAATAAATTTGTATTAAAACTTTTCAGTCTGAAATTTAAGACTAAAACCAGAAAGAGTTTAAAACATTCTCTTGTGGTTAGCTGTGTTGTACTGGTAGGGGAGTGAAATGTGGAGACAATTCCTTGTGGTTTAACTAGGATTACATGTGAGAACTTAGAACAGTGCTGGGTCCATGACAGTAGTCAGTACTGTATTCATATCAGTTTGTTTGATCTTCACGTCAACCCCTGGAACGTAAGTGCTGTCATTCGTATTTTATACATGAGGAAGCTGAGGTTAGGTGGGCTGCCCAAGGTCACAGGAAAAGCCGGTGTCTGAACCTATGCAGTCAAACTCTAGAGTTTGTACCCTTAGCCACTACACTATGGTGTCTCTCATTTATAGAGCCCTTAACGTTATCACTAGTGGTTGTACTTACCTGCGAGGTATAAAAGCATAGAAAGGCTTTTTGTATTTTACTCTAGTTGAGATCAGAAATTTTATTGAGCTACTAATATGTGTCATTGTAAGGCAGCATCGTTATTTTAAAAAAGTTTTTAAATTGTTTATTTTTGAGAGAGTGTGTGTGTGTGTGTGTGTGTGTGTGTGTGTGTGTGAGCAGGGGAGGGGCAGACAGGGAAGGAGACATAGAATTTGAAGCAGGCTCCAGGCTCCAAGCTATCAGCACAGAGCCTGAGGGGGGCGGGAAGGGCCGGGCAGGGGGCTCAAACTCAAGAACCGTGAGATCATGACCTGAGCCAAAGTTGGACACTCAATGAACCAAGCCACCTGGGTGCCCCCAGAATCCTTTTTTATTTTTAACTCTTTTCATTTTTTTCCAGTTTGCAGTCCTGTAGATCCCCAAGTCCAGTTAACTCTATTTGCTCATTAAAATGGTTTCACAGGGGCGCCTGGGTGGCTTGGTCGGTTAAGCGTCCGACTTTCGCTTA